TTCAATTATTTGTTAAATTAATATCTGAAAAATCAACAATTAAACAAGAAGATATTGATTTATTAATTCCAGTATTATTTCCAGAATCTTTAATCAATATATTATTTAATCTATTTATTTTAAATCCTAAACATGAAGATAAAAGTATTATTTTACACTTATTTTCTACGTAAGTTAAATCTTTACTTTTTTCATCATTAAGAAGCAATAAACAATTTAATCAAATAATTTATGAAACTTTTCGGATCCAAAATTTGTCTTATTCATCTAGAACACTATTTTGATATTCATTATTCTATGACAAAATTTATGTCAGAATCCCATGTGAAATTGCGAACTAGAAATCAAAGATGGAACCGGTCTACCCCAGTAACACATGATACATCGATAAGTCACAGGAAGAAAAAAACAAGTAGTTTAGATATGGAGAATACGGTTTATCGCGTAGCAAACTTGATTTACTAAGTTATATCACATGTCTGATATAGAAATGAAATCAATCTGAAAAGATTAGACAGGTCGGTGTACCGGTTCCATCTCTTCTAGGAATGCATAATATCGGTTTGAATACCAGCAGTAAGTCATTGACATTCGTGTTGACTGCAACAACTACTATATGAAAATATATACTCCTTTTATAGTGGTGTGTTTCAGTGAAAACTAGTGCCAATATGTCAGTGTACCTGTCAGAGATGTCCATCGCGGCGCTGCCGCTGCCGCGATGGCGGTGGCGGCACGGCAGCGGCAGGTTTTTTAAAAAACCACCGCGGCAGCGGCGCGGTAGCGGCAGATTTTTTTAAAAGTCATCGCGGCAGCGGCACGGTAGCGGCAGGATTTTTTTGGAGGACATTGAAAAACTGTATGAATTTAATAGAATTTCAGGATTTACAAATGAAACGCCCTGATATTGAATAAATCTGATGGACTAGTACCCATATCTCTGGTCAAATATAGTCACAGCAGTGAAATTAGAAACACTTTTTTGAAAACCGTCGCGGTGGCGGCACGTTTATTTTATAATTCATCGCGGCAGCGTTTCTTTTATAAGTCATCGCGGTGCGGCAGCGTCGCGGCAACATTTTTTTATAAACCGTCGCGGCGCGGCAGCGGCAGATTTTCAGCCGCGATGGACATCTCTGGTATCTGTGTAGTAAGTGTGCGCAAATTACACTGAGTTCGAGTTATTTTGGTCATATTATTTCGATTTCTGCTACTCTACTGAGAAGTTGATAAAAGACGTTACATAGGATTGAAAGATACATAATTCTAACTGAAAACTACCTTAGTTTGAAACCATAGCTGAAATTATTAATAGTATAACAAACATATTTTAAAGTAAATAAATATGAATAACGAAGTGCAGTTTGATTATTTTTAAAATTTGTTCATTTTTCATTATAAACACCATACAGGTGACATTTATGTAGGAATAAAAGCTTTTTTTTTCTCAAATCCTTATGTTTATACTTAAAAAATATTCGAACAATAAAATTTGACTCTATTTTATATAACGTAGAAAAATTTTCTAATTAATGAACAGTTCGCGATCAGTTGCTGAAATCAATCAGTAGGTAAATACAATTCATCCCTAATTTTCGAAAAATTATTTTCTTACATCATAATGAAAATAAAATCTGACATATTCACTGACTTCGTCAATACTGTGCTCAGACGCTGAGAATTAATTAAGATAGACATAATTTCGTACAAGTGTCCTTTTCAGATTTTTACATTTCATGCGATTGAAATCGAAAAAAAAAATCATCAATAGACAGTTCGGTGTAATGTGTACTATAGTATCATTTCATCTATGTTTGTAAAATATTTAGTCATAAGAAAGTTTTTCTTTTTTAGTTTGATACAAACAAGTCATAATTTCAATTTAAATAAAAATATAGAAAATTTTTTATTTCATTTATTTATTGAATTACCACCAAATTCAACTTCAATAAATACTCAAACAATGAGAACATTACAAATAGCTATTATGGATTTAGTTTTTCTCTTAATTGAAAAACATCAATCAATGTCAACAGATATAACAAATGAACTATCTAAATTACCTAAAAATTTTCATGATCTATTAATATTAATTGATGTTATTAAAGCATTAACTGATAAAACAAAACATACAATATTTCCAGAAATGTTCATTATAGAATCAATTGTTTTATTAGGTGAAAATCTTCAATTAACACGAGATGATATTGAAAAATCAAATCAATATTTTGATACAATATCTGATTTACAATTAATTCATTTTATGAATAATAATCAACTTTTAAAAATATCTTTTATTGAATTTATTCATAGTTTACCAACTGAATCAATATCAAATTCATCATATTATAAAAATTATCCATCATTATGGCATATTCCAGCTATTTATATTCAAATTCGTGCTAAAATTATCTATGAATTTAATATAATTATAGAAAAATTAGTTTCATTTATTGATCTTAGTCTATTTCCAGGACAAAGTATTCTTACAGATAAAATTCAAAAAATAAAATCATATATATTATATGAAATAAAATCTAAACTTTTCGATACAACTGTAACTATAACTTCATTAGAAATAAATCAAAATATTCCTATAGTTAATTTTGATACAGTTAATATTAATTCAACTACAACACATACAATGTTTTATCAAGCATATGAACAATTACATGAACATGCACATATAACATTTCGAAATGAATATGATCAAATATGGCGTGCACAATATCTTGCTATGCATAGTACTGATCAAGGTGGACCATTTCGTGATTCTGTTACACATATATGTTCTGATATATGTAGTACACGATTATCATTATTTATATTATGTCCAAATGGACGAATAAATAGTGGTTTAAATGATGATCGTTGGATTCCAAATATATATCCACCAAATGAATTAATTTCAAATCGAATTAAAAAACAATATCAATTTATTGGTCAATTAATGGGTATGGCTATACGAAAAAAACATTATTTATATTTTAAATTTCCTAGTTTATTATGGAAACAATTAGTTCGTGAACAAATAACAATTGAAGATATTGAAAATATTGATATACAAAGTTTTACAATAATAAATGAAATGGAAAAAATTATAAAACAAAATAATTCATTAATTAATACAAATGAATTATTAAATAGTATGTTAGATGAACTTCGATTTGAAGTTTTAAGTTCAAATGGACAAACATATGAACTTGTTCCAAATGGTAAAAATATTCCAATAACATTGTCGAATTTCAAAGATTATTGTTCATATTATCGTGAATATCGTTTAAATGAATTTTATCGACAAATTGATTGTATTCGTCAAGGTTTATATAGTGTTATTCCAGGTTATTTCTTAAGTTTGTTTACAGCTAATGAACTTGAAGAAATGATATGTGGAAAAGGAGAGATGGATATTGAATTATTGAAAAGAAATACTATATATAGTGGTCATTATAATAAAGATTCACTATCTATTCAACGATTTTGGACAATTCTAAGAGAAATATTCAATGAAGAACAGAAAAAAATGTTTTTAAAATTTGTTTGGGGACGATGTACATTACCAAATTGTGATGATGATTTTGAAACAAAATTTCACATTGAACCATATATTCTATCTAATGAATTAATTGATGGAGCACTTCCAAGTAAATCTCAAATATTTTCTTTCAATACTAGAAATATTAAATTTCTTTTTTATGCCTTACACAAAACATTTTTGAGCGTTTTTTCCGTTAGATATATTTTATTTTTGTTATTGATAATGGCATATTGAAAAATTCAATTAATATTTATTTTTATAATTTTAGGAGCTCATACTTGTACATTTGTTCTTGATTTACCTGAATATTCAACGATTGATATTATGTATGATCGGTTGAATTATGCAATAACTTATTGTACAAGTATCGATGGAGATGGAAACATGAATGAAGCTCCTATACCAACTGATTTAGAATCTGATTCTGCAACAGAAGACTAATGAATATAATTATTTTTTTTTTTTGACAAATTTTAGATTTTCATCTCAATTAATTTAACTATAAATAGAACGATTTTATGATTGAACTTTTTTCTAGGTACAGTAGCGGTTGTATCTATTAGTTTTAGATTACGCAGAAGAAGAACCACATATGAGATAATAAATACATATCGATGAAAATGATATTTAATAGTTGAATAGTAAACAGTCAATTATTTTAATCTAATTCATACGATGGTAATATTTTCTGTTAGCGCACATAACATTCAGTTCAATATTTTCAATTAATGTTGATTTATTTATTCACATACATATAGAATCAACAAAAAGTCAATTTCAATTATGAAAGATATATATATATATTTTACTTAAAAATTATTGTATTTTGAAATTTTAATTTACAATGAAATATTTGAACTATGAAAATTCTCTATGACTTTATTTTATACTTCTTAGGAATAAGTTTTTATTTCAGTTTTAATTCTATACTGTACAACACACGTCGAGCACTTTCAATATTTGCTAAAAATACCTATCTTTAACAGGTATATGACGAAATTCAATTGATGTGTTTTGTTTCTATGCTACAATAATATCAGTAAGAGCAACTATTATATCAATGCTTGAATAATTATTTTTTATTGTAGCTGAGATTGAAGTGCATTTATTTAATATCACTTTCTATAAGTATTTTAAGTAAATCAATAATAAAATCTAATGAATATTTTAACTTTTGAAGAAGTTCTAATTATTCTTGATAATTATGAATAACAACGTATTCATGTAAATGCATTATTTTTAGTATTTTAGACATATTTGAATTACTCGTCATGATTAGGATAACAAAAAAAACGCTGCAGAACTACTAAACGAATCTATAGTTATTTTTTCGTTTTTTTTGCATCAAAATTATATTTTATCTTAGTTTTCAATAGATGAGTCGAGCGATTAATTATATCAACATATTTATTTTTTAAAACTACAAACAAAAAAAAAAAATAAACAAATAAAATGATTAATATTAATTGTCTTTTAAATTTTCTGGACGTTCTTGAGCCATATTTAATTTATAATAGATGCCTTGTTGTGAAATTAATTGTTCATGACGACCACTTTCTTTAATTTGACCACGATCAACAACACAAATTTTATCAGAATTTCGAATTGTTGATAAACGATGAGCTATAGTTAAACATGTTCGACCTGTTCGTGCTTGATCTAATGCTTCTTGAACAATTTTTTCACTTTTATTATCTAATGCTGATGTTGCTTCATCGAGAAGAAGAATTTTTGGATTTCGAACCAAAGCTCGTGCAATAGCAACTAAATATTAAAAGGAAATTTTTCAAAACAATACTTTGTTCTTTTTTTTTATTATTAAACTTACTTCGTTGTTTTTGTCCACCAGATAATTGACCACCTTTAGCACCACATGAAGTTTCATATCCCTAAACAATAATTTTATATTAAACTAAAAAGACAAAAAAAAAAAAAAAAAACTTAAAATTTAACCTCAGGTAATGATGTAATGACATCATGAATATTTGCTTTTCTTGCTGCTGCTTCAATTTCATCTTGTGTTACTTGTCGAGTATTATCACCATAAGCAATATTATCACGAATTGAAAGATTAAAAAGGACAGGTTCTTGTTGTACAAGACCAAGTAATGATCGTAACCATTGAATATTTAATGTTTTTATATCATATCCATCAAGAAGAACAGTACCAGCAAGTGGATCATAAAAACGTTGTATCAATGCAACAGTTGTCGATTTTCCACTACCTGATGGACCAACAAGTGCTGTTGTTGCACCTGAATTACAAGTTAAATTTAAATGACGTAATATACGAAGTTTTGGTCGAGCTGGATAACGAAATCGAACATCTCGAAATTCAATATTTCCATTTACATCAGACTAAAAAGAATAAAGATTAAATAACTAAATTAAAGAAGATCTTTTTTTTCTTCTTACAAGTGTAATGCCAGATGAATCTTCAGGATCAATTTTTGATTCACGTTTATTTAATTCAAGAATACGTTTAGCACTAGCTTTTCCTTTAGCATAACTTGGTGCCATAGATGCACTACGTCCAATAGACATTGCGGCAAAAGTTACAACACTGAAGACTCGAAAGACATTATAGAAGGACATTTCTTTACTTTGAATAAGTTTGACACCATAACCAAATGCTGCTGCATGAACTAGATTTGAAAAAAAAAATAGAAATAAAACATTTTTGTTTTTTTTGTAAAAGAAATAAATTCTTACTAAAAAACATCAATGAATTAGCAAGAGCATTAGCAAAAGCTACATAATGAAGATAAAACATACGACTTCTGAAATACAAAAAAACAAAGAAAAATAAATACAAAAAGAGTGTAATAAAAAATATTTATTTTGGCGTACCGAAAATCACGATCAAATGCTTCTTCATATAATTGAATAAAATTTTCTTCTCGATGAAGTGATACAACTGTACGAATATTTTCAATAGCTTGTGTTGCATACTAAAAAAAAAACGATATATTTAATTATTGATACATGCTACAAATATCAGATTAGTTTTAGCGAAAAATTCCACATTGAAACAGAATACAAAATCGAGTAGACATTTTTAAACCTATATAGAGAACATTATCAAGTTGTGTTGATGTATCCATTAGTTAAAGAAACCACCTTTTCCGAAGTTTCTCGAGAATGGCTCATCAGAAAATTTTGAAAATTTCACAGATGATAGATCTCGATGTGTAGAGTAAAAGTTGTCATAGACTCAAAATTCCGAAATGCTTCTATCTAGGAGATATTGGGGCTACAATGACTAAAAATTATCCTTCAAATCGCCCCCATTTCTCAGCCGTACTACGTCCTATAGAGCTGAAATTTTTTTACAGATACTAGACACTGTTTAGGGTGCCTACATTTTTTTTGGTTTCTTTCTATCTCGTTTTGTTTGAATACAAAAGCTCAAATACGAAGAGCACCTTAAAAAACGCATATTTTTTTGGATAGTGCTTGTCTTGTAAGGCCCGCAAAAACTCACTGGTATTATATTTTTCAAAAACAAAAAAAAGTAGGCACCCTAAAGTGTCTTTAATATCTGTAAAAAAAGCCCTCAGCCCGATCGGATGTACTGTGTTTGAGAAAGAGGGGGGAAGGCGATTCTGTAGATTTTTGCTGAAAAATCGGGTTTCTAGAAAACCGGGAAAGAAAGAAAAAATTGTGCTATATCCCTATGGCAATCATTTTATCTTTTCGATCTTATTTTTGATTTAGGGCTATGTTTGAGCTCTCAGAATGTCACTGGCAGAGAGAGAGCATTTGAAAGTGCATGTTGAGCAGAAAAAACAAAAAACGAAAATTTGGAAATTTTGGATCTGGTAAGAGAAAGTCCCCTTAAGTGTAACGACATAAATTGATGTGAGTTAAATTACGTAAACAATTTTCTCGGAAAAAATTCCAGTTTCTCGAAGTTTAATATCAAGAAGAAGCAGAAAAAATATATATTAAACTCAATAGACATACTTTCCCTCCATCTTCAGCATCCGATGTTGCTTCGTTCTTATTTCCAGCTGCTTTAGAAAATTGTTGACCTTGAATAAGACCTGTAAAAACCATTAATGGAGTAAAACACAGAATAACTAATGTAAGTTTCCATCCAGCTTCAAAACTAATAACAAGACCAGTAATTAATGCACCTATGGCAGTAAGAATAGCACCAAACGTAGGACCAGTAAATCCTTTTAGTGACGCTGCATCAGATGAAAGTCGTGTTACTAATGCACCTAAATTATTTTCATCCATATCAAACCATCCAATTTCTTGTCGTAGAATAGTTTTAAAAGAAAGTATTCTCATACGCATTGTTAATTCTTCTCCAGCTTTAGCTAAAGTAACTGATGATATTATTTGACTTATTGCACCAGCAAGACCAACTAAAAACATTACATATGTTAGAGTACGTATTTCAGCTTCTTGTTTATTTAAATCTGTTTCTGCTAAAGCACCAAATACTTCAGAAAAAACTAAAGAAAATGCCTAAAATAAATAGCAATAATAATAATAATATAGAAAATGACAGATTATTTTACAAACCGGCATAACACCACCAAAAGCAAGTGAACTAATTGCACCAAGTACAAGATAAAACCATTCAGGAGAATTTAATCGTAAAATTTTGAATATAAATGGCATACTAATAAGAGGTTTTTCTTCTACTTCTTCAATTAATCCTAAATCATATCCTGTTTCACTATTAAGTTCTGATGCTACTGATTTAACTGAAACAACCGATGTACGTCTTAACATAATTGACATACGACGAGATTGTCGACGTATTCTATGTTTTGTTGATTCAAGAGCTTGTTGAGCTAATGCTTCTTCCATTTCATTTTCTTTATCACTATCAACTTCTTTTTCTTTTTCTTTTTCACTTTGAGCAGTAACCAATTCATAATAAAGTCCTTTACATTGCATTAAATCATTATGTGTACCATATTCAACAACTTGTCCATGTTCTAATCCAATAATAATATCAGCATTTTTTATTGTACTTAAACGATGTGCTATAACTATAGTTGTTCGACCTTCTTTAGCTTTATCTAATGCTTCTTGAACAAGTTTTTCACCTTGATTATCTAAAAAGAAAAACTAAGCATAAAAATGATATTCTACAATTTGATAAAATACCTAAAGCAGATGTTGCTTCATCAAGTAATAAAATTTTTGGATTGGAAATTAAAGCTCGAGCAATAGCAACTTAAAAAAAGAATAATAAAACAATCAATCAAATTCATTTTTCTTTTTTTGTTTTTATTTTCATATAATTCTTACCTCGTTGTTTTTGACCACCACTTAATTTATCTCCAGATGATGTTTTATAATTCTAAAAACAAACAAATAAATTTTCTTTTTCATAAATAATATTCATGATTTTACGTGTGGTAATTGCATAATAAAATCATGTGCATTAGCCATTTTAGCAGCAGCAATAACTTCTTCATCAGTTGCATCAAGTTTTCCATAACGTATATTATCTTCAATAGTACCAAAAAAAAGAACAGGTTCTTGAGAAACAATACCAATATTTGATCGAAGCCATTTTAAATTAATTGAACGTATATCACGACCATCTAATATAACTTGTCCATTATCTGGATCATAAAATCGTTGTATTAATTGAATTGTTGTACTTTTACCACAACCCGATGGACCACAAAGTGCAACTGTTTTTCCAGATGGAATTTTTACATTTAAACCATTAAGAATCTATTGCAAAAAACAAAAAAAAAATATATTTGAAAATTTATACTAACGAAAATGAACTTCTTACAGGTGCTTCTTGTCGTGATGGATATTTAAAATGAACATTTTTAAATTCAATATCACCAATAAAATTCATTGGAATTTCTCCATCATTTTTAAATATATTTATTTTTGATTGACGTTTTATTATTTCAAAAACATATCCACCTGAACCTAATGCTTCAGCAAATGCTTGTATATTTGGAAATAAATTAGCTAATGCAAATGTTGATGTTAAACAAGAAATAAATATCTAAATAAATAATTATTCAACTATATAATATTAAGAAGAAGAAAAAAAAACAAGAACTAATACATACAACCATCCAATGACCAGCTGAATAATTTTGACATTCATTTCGAATTAAATATGGTCCATACCAAAATATTATTGCAACACCACCATATAAAACAATATTTACAAGACCTTGTGTTACACCTAACATAATACCTTTTTGAATACCAACACGTCGACCTTCGGTTAAATTCTTTTCATATCTATTTTTTTAATTAAAAAAAAAAAAAGAAAGAAAAATATACGTATAGAATCTTGATGAATTTTCTGTTTTTTTTAATCTTGAGAACATGTTGACTAGTGCAAAAAACAATATTTCTATTGTATTCGACAGATATCGAGAATAATACAAAAGAATCAACCATCAGTATTTAATTCAGATTAGAGTTAAGAGAGCAATGCTCTTTTACCAAGCATCGAGTTTGCTTCATTGCATTCCTATGAAGTATCAAATTGCACTTTCAATAGAAAAAACTTTGAATAAAATATTGCATTGTAGGATCATTAGTATGTTGTTTTTTTTTTATTACTCTAAACAAAATCACAATCCTGAATGAGACATTCACAAGTGTTTAACTAGAAAAAATTTTGTTTCTTATTTGTATCAAACGATAGTTCGAATTTCGTGATAGATGAAATTTATTAAATCTTAAATTCACAATTGTCTGCATGTACTTTTTTAGGACTCAAAATTATTACTATACTTAAAAATACACTTTGATAAATTAGAAATTATTTCAATAGAATAATATTTATTTACCGTTCTGTTTCTTTATTTTGTCCACTAAATGCTGTTACAGTTCTTATTGCACCTAAAACTTCTTGTGCAATAGCATTAGCTGTACTATAAGCTTGTAATTCTAATTCAGTATATCGAATAATAACCTATATTGATATTTAAAAATAATAAATAATAAATATTTATTTATATTATATTTTGACTTACTCGAACTAAAAGATTAACTGAAAGAATAATTAATGGTGAAATAGATAGAAAAACAAGTGTTAATTTCCAACCAGTATAAAAAGAAAATATCAATGTAGCAATGATTCGAGAGAGTAGACAAAAGAAATCCGCTACACGAAAACCAATACCCTCTCGAATATTTTCAAGATCTTCAATAAGACGGCTAGATAATTCACCTAAATTAGAATTTTTTTTGTTTTTTTATGAAACAAAACAATAAATTTTAAATTACAAACCAGCATTTAAACAATCAAACCAACCGATTTCTTGACTCAAAATACTTTCAAAAAGTTCATAACGAATTCGACGTATTTGTCGTTCAGTTGAACTCATCTAAATTTTAATTTCATTATAATTCATTTTTGATTTAAATCAATATGTTACCCAAAAACCATAAGCCATCCAATGAACAACAATACTTGATACACCTAATGTTGCATACCATTTAATAATATCTTCAATGGCTGATATTGGATCAGCATTAGAACCTGAACTACTATAACTAAATCATAAATATGACATTTAAAAGAACATAATTTTCATATATATATATGTATACCAATCACTTGTCGTTGTAGCATTGCCTTTTCCTATATTAACTAAAGAATTTGCAACACTTTGAAATAACCACATCATGATAGGCATTGCTACACCAGATGCGAAAGCTAATTAAAAATAGAAAAATTCAGTTTGAATAAAAAAAGCATTATAACGAATCTCATAGTACCTGTAATAGTTCCTAATATCATAAATAAAATATCCCATTTATCAGAATATTTATACTAGAAAAGATAAACAAAGATAAAATTTTTTTTTGCAGTAACATCATACATACAATTTCATATGGTTTTAATTTTGGTACTTCAGGTTTTTTCTTCACCTCCGATTCCTTTTCATTTTCATCTGTTTTAGGTAATCCATTTTCTAAGCTTGTCTTGTCAACTTTTTGTGTTGATTCGATTGAATTATTTGGTATTTTAATATTCGTATCATCGATTTCTTCTTTACCAGATAGTTTGACTGGACCATTATTCAATGGTACAACTCTTCCATTCGATTTTAAATTACCATTCAATATTGGCATTATGGTAGAAAAAAAAAATGTTGTATTATAAAGTAAACTTGAAAACAAACAATTGAGCTCCCTTTTTTATAGTGCAGCACTTTAAATCATTTTTTTTTACTCTTTCTACGTCATGCACTTGCAAATACAACATCAACATACTTTGACGTTCGGAAAGTACGTAATCGTACAAGAAAAGAACGGATGGTTATGATGTTCTTTTTCTGTTTACAAGAACTTTACATATATAATGGTAGCAGACATCTAGCAAACTTTTTTTAACCAAAAAGAAAGTTCTCTAGGACAACATATTATGCAACGTGAACAGAACGAAAGAAAAAGAAATTTTTTTTTTTCGGTTAATACAAACAAAATTTTTATTAGAATCAAATAAAATTCTATTGAATGATAAAACTCGTAGTTTGAATTATTTTACTTTATAAAAATTCTGTTTTCTTATTAATGAACTTGATCATCCTGCTTAACGACAACAACAAAAAAAACAACAACAGCAATCTTTTTCAATTTTTACACTATTTGAGCATATCTTTTTTGGAGAAAATATTCAAGCATAAATTACATTTACTTATAGAAAAGAAAAAAACAAATATTTACGAGAATCTCTTTGTATTTACTCCCCATTGGCATGAAAACGTGTTAGCAAAAAACAAAATCAAGGTTAATGATATATTTTTAGAAATACATCAAACACAAATAAAACATATTGTTCAATATTATTTAAATTCAATTTGAAGATTATAGCTTATGACAGTTCATAGAATAAAATAAGAATTAACATTAGCAATGGTGAATAACTTGTCAGTTTAATTCTGCAAGATGACCTTAATTTTTAAAATATTTATTATTTATTGAATATTGAAGAAGAAAAAAAAAAACAAGTTTCTAAATTAACAAAATAAATAGTAACTATTCAGTTATCTTCTATGTACATAAAATAAATAAAAATGTTCATCAGTTATAAATAAAACAAAGTCTTTACATATGACACATGTATAAACTAAATCAATACAGTTATATTTTAATCAAAAACTTATTTGATCACTGATTATGAGTATACTTATATTGTGCTGATGCTAATTTCATATAAGTTCCTTGTTGTCTCAATAGTTCTTCATGTGTTCCCTAAATTAAAATATTTGTTTTGTATTTTGTTTTCTAATAAATAAATTCAATAGAAAACTCACTTCTTCTGTTATTTTGCCTCGATTAACAACAGCAATTTTTTCTGAGTGCTGAATTGTTGATAAACGATGAGCAATAGTTAAACATGTTCGGTCAACTTGTGCTTGACGTAATGCATTTTGAACTATTTGTTCACTTTGATTATCTAATGCTGATGTTGCTTCATCAAGTAGAAGAATTTTTGGATTTCGTATCAGAGCTCTAGCAATAGCAACTATAATAAATTCATATACAAGATAGTGGAAAAAAGTTTCATAACAGCATATTTTTCCTAACTATAATGTTAAGCCATCAGCTTACATTTGAATAATGATTTTAATAGTTAATGATACTTTCTATCTGATGCATTATTGTACAACAAGATTAGAAGGACGAACTAAAGTGATAAGGTTTCTAAAAAACTGAACATAGTAGTTTTCAGATCCTATAAAATTTCGTCAGAGCTATTTTTTAACAATACAATTTTAAAAAAGCACAAGATTCGGAATAAAATTAGGACTGCAGCAATTCAATTCTACAAGAATATGAATATAAAAAAACTTCAGATTTCTATTTCCAATACAAATATTGGAGAAAACCAGGCAGATTAATAAAAATCTCCTATACGTTGCACAAAATAGTATGTTTAACATTCAATAATATTTCAAGATGTAGTGTGACATAGTAAAACTGAAAGTAACCTTTTCGTACTACATGAACAGACGAGAACAGTACACTAGTTAAAGTTATTAAAAGTTCAACTTATTCTCTCAAATGGTGGATCGATGAAATTTGTCTTACGAGGGAACCTTTTCAACTGTCCAATCGCTTTTGAGTTCGAACTCA